ACGGGGCCCTGGACCACCCGCCGGCCGCCCTCCCGCCGGCCGCCGCCGCCGCCGCATCCCTAGCACAGCCCTCGACGTCCTCCTTGCATTCCCACAGCTCGCTGGCGGGGACACAGCCCCAGCCGCTCTCCCTCGTAACCAAGTCCTTAGAATAGCTTTAGCCTCGTTAGCCCTTTCGGTTTCCTTCAGGGGGATTGAATTCTGTTGGGATTTGGGGTTTTGATTTGGGGTTTTTTTTTTCCTTTTCTTCAATTTTTTTTTTTTTTTTCCTTCTCCTCCTCCTCGTCGTCCGCTGTTCGTCGTCGTTTCTCGGTTTCGTTTTTAATTCGTGCCACGTGGCTACATTAGTTGATGTTTTATCGAGTTCATTGGTCAATATTTGACCCATTCTTATTTCAATTTCTCCTTTTTAAATATGTAGATGAGAAAAGCCTCATGATTCTGCCAAAATTTTTATCAACAGCTGTTTAAAGTCTTTGTAGCGTTTAAAAAATATATATATATACATAATTGTTATGTAGTTCCAATAGCTTAGTTTTAAAGACTGATTTTAAAAATTAAAAAAAAAAAAAGAAGCAATTTTGAAGCAGCCCTTGCCGGAGGCATTGGTTCTTTATTATTTGTATTAAATACGAGCTTGCGAACCAATCATTTTACATCTGGTTTTTAAACCTTTAAGGGCACAACGAATGCAGTGCCGCTACTACTTCTTTTTTTTTCCTTCCTTGTGTGAAACAACCTTTATTGTGATGTTACTTGTTATTGTTTAAATGTACAGAAACAAAGGGTTAAAAAAAAAAATGTGTTAATATACCTTGTTCCATGGTGTTGTTCTTTTTGGGGGAGGGAACGCTACTCAACAATTAAAAGTATCACAACGCTATTGGACCAGTAGTATTTATTGCTTTAGAAATTGCTTGTTGTATCTGTATGTTGTCCCTTTTTAAATGTTTTTTTCTTCTTTTTTTCCTGAAACATTGTATAAAGGTTTTTTTTTTTTTTCCCTTAGTGTAAGCATCTTATATATAACAACTCATTTGTACAAGGTTTTTAAGTTTATATATAAATGTGTATATATATATTTTTTCCGGGATTTTTGTTTTTTATTTCCTTTCGTGATTTTTTTTTTTTTTTTTTTTTTTTTTGCTCTATGAAACGCAGTTGCCACCAAATGGACATTCGCAGATGCATTTTTTCAAGGATCAATAGTGTAAAAAAAAAAAAAAAATTTGCTTTAAAAGCCATTACACACAAAAAGACTTGAAAATTTAGCAAGGGAATTTTTAGCAAGGCTGTTTGAAAAACAGCAAGGTCCAAGTGTCTCCCGTTCAGAACTGCAGCTGAATCCCCTGCGACATTAGGACTGTAGGCTGTGTGCAAAATTTCTATGTGCCAAAATTCTCAGTGACTTTTAACTTTCTCCCGACGACTTTCTTATTTTTTTTTAATGCTGTAATTTTTTTGTTCATCATGTTTTGCTGTGATGTTACATAGGTAGATATGTATGTAGTTTTAATGTCACCTATAACAGACGTGTTTGGTAGCAGATTGTCCGGAAAGCATTTAAAATGAAGAGGTATAAACCCTTAAGGGCCAAATTCTGTATATTAGATTATTCATAAAAGGAAAATCAGACTGCCACTTTTATGTACACTTACTACATACAGGTAGGTAGCAAACTTAAAACAAAAAAAAAAAAAACCTAGGCATGTTGATGTTGCAAAAAACGCTGTATAAAGCTGAAAAATTGTTCATCTGTTCATTCAGTGCCATTGTAGTTGACATGAAGCGATTGTAAAACTGTCTCAGATTTTTCTCTGGTTTATTAAGATGCTAACTATAACATTTTTTGTGAATACTTTGAATGTTTCCTAACAGTTGTGATGTTACTGTTCCGTTTTATGCTCTTATTCCGATTTTCATTTTTAATGGTTTGGAAGCCATTTTTTGTAATGAATAAATGTTCATGCTGTACAGTATCTGTAGCATGCAGTTCTGGATTAATAAAAGCAACTTAGTATGTGCAGAGAACGACTTGTCAACTCATTTATGCACTGACTGCATTTTGCTCTGGCCAAAAAGATTTACTGCCCGCGTGGAAAACTGCCTTGGAAAAAATGTTGTGAAAGTCGCGGCGACTTGCAGCCAGCTCTACTTGTGAGAAATCCTCTCTTCCCTTTGAGTCCCCGTGCTACTGCCTGCTAAATTCATTTTGCGCTCGCCCTCTCCCCGCTCAGCTTTTGTTGCAATGGTTGAAAGTCCTTATTTTTTTAAAGGAAATGGCACGTGATTTGGCCCAAGACAAAGAGCGCGTGAGCTAAAGTCATGGCGTCCCTCTGGGTGAAGTGATCCCGACTGGGGGATGGTGATCACTGACCAGGGCTGGTGGTACCATCAATTTTAAAACATTTTTGTTCAGCCCGGTGATCCCACAACACAGGGCTGATGTGCTATAAAGGTCACACAGGAGAGCTTAGGTAGCCCTAATTAGCCAGAGTCCTTGTGCTGGCCTTAGGGTTTATCTCCTGGACAGATTTGAGGCCATTTTTGCAAATTTATTTGTTTTTTTAATGCACTGTGCCCCTGCAGCAGAGCCTGCTCTCAGCACTGAGCATCCAGCATCCGCCTAACGCAGCAATGCCTGCGGATGCTGCAGGACCAGAGTGAACTTAGCACGCAAGAATATTTATTAAACGGTTGATTTGTGGGGTTTTTTTTAAAACTTAAGTAGGCATTTAAGCTTTGTGATTTCCAGGAATTTCTCAGGAGTGGATGTCACCATAGTCCCAGTCGTCTTGGAAAATCTCAGCCATACTAATTTCTGCAGTGGCACTCGGGGGCGATCGTCCAATGCAAAGGTCTCGGAGCAGGCTTGTTCCCTGCCGCCGTGCCGGTGTATTGCTCAGGTAACGCACTTCTCTGCGGCCGGTCCCGATGGGCTCTGCGGGGAGGGTAAGTGTTCCTCCTCCTCTGGGGGAAACCGGTGAAGTGATTTTCTGCAGGCACCTGGGAACCAGGCCATTTTGGGAAGCCCAGCCCCGGTGCTGAGACCGTGCTGTTCCTCGCTGGGGGGTCCGATAAAACCAAAACTGGCTGCCGAGCAGTTGGCTGTTGGCTGCAGAAGGAGTTTGCTTTGTAGAGGGGCTGCAAGTCACTGGGCAAAGTACTAAATTATGTTTAAACAGAGTATAGAGTACTTTAAATTGCTACTGCTTTTTTTAATGACTAGTTTACAAGCCAGAAGCCTTTTTTTTTTTGTTTCAAATGTGTTAATAAAGGGTAATATATGTGAGGATTGCTTCGTATTTCCGGTTAGAAGGATTAAGTCATAGTGGATTTTTTACCAGGCTCCATTTATCTCCCTTGGTCCAAGGCCTGATGCTGTTTCTGTTGTGCTCTGACACACCACCCTCCTCGACTTGAGTGGAACGTGTCCCCCCGTCCCCCGCGACAGGCGTGTGGGCAGGGGCACGGGGCAGGGGATGGTGCTGCAAAGCCTTTGTGGAAGATGCCAAATCTTGCTGGTGTTGGTAGCCACCAAATTGAATGCGATGCTCAAATTACTCTCCTGCTGTTTAAGGTTTCTTAGGGAATTTGTTTTTTTTTTCCTTTCTCCTAAACGTTTTGACTCTTGCTAGAGTGTGGCCAACCATCAGCCAGCCACATGTGCTGCATCTCTGCTGGGGATAACTGCTCTCTTCTAATGTAAAACATAGTGCTCCAGGGAGATCTTTGAATGCCATGATTCAAAGGAGACACCATCAAGGTATGATTCATATGTTCAGCAAAATAGTGTGTTCTTTGCTCACCGCTTTATTAGCAAGCCTGTGGAAAACAGAGTCCAAAACCACAGTTCCTGGGCAAATTGGTTTTCCTTCTGCGTGTGCGGTGAGAGAGGCATGTGTGCGACAGGTTGAGCAGTGGTGGGTAACTTGTGCTGGGAACCCTTGTTTGCTGGGGAAAACAATTGTGTATTCCTGGGAAAGCAATCGCCTGGGCTTCTTGTAGGACGTGCATTGGCTGTGTCCCTTGATGGGCTTCTGCCTTCAGATTTGCCTCCAAATTCCCCTTGCTCAGAAGGCCTGAGGTGGATCAAGGCTCCTGGGAGAAAATTACTATTACTTATATGTACTCCCTTTGTGCCCAGGAGTCCCAGCGAAGGACCCCATCGGACCAGGTATGCTGGAAACACGGTGGGAAGACAGCCCTTCCCATACACTGTAGGTGTAAAATAGGGTAAGCAGCTGGCTACGGGGGTACGGCCTGATCACCCCCGTCACCCCCAGATCCGTGCAAGGGAGGGCAACCTCCAGGGTGATGAACTGGCACGCTCTGTCCCTGTACGGGGCTGCCACGGGACAGCATGGGGCCCTACATACGGTCGGTAATTCACTGTAGCTATTGCTTCCATCTGTTTTTATGGGATAAGTCAAGGAAGCAAGTCAACGTATTGCATGTTCGGGAGACATTTATTTTCCATTCGTTTTGTAAATCTCATTTTTCACTTAGTGTATGGAATTTTAAAAAGTTTAAGCAATTGCTGACTCAATAAAGCAGGGCCACATGGTTTTAAGCTTTGCTTAAAAGGAAAAAAGCAAGGGAAAGGCAGGAAGAAAGAGCAGTCTTCAGAGTCCTGTTCATTTCATTAGACTGTAAAAAGATGTAAAGAGAATTCATGGTAAAATAGTTGCATGGGCCATTGCAACAATCATGAAAGCAAACAATAATAATAATAATAATAATAATAATAATAATAATAATAACAACAATAATATGAATGTGTGTGACAGTGCTGCCCAGCTATGTCTGGCATACACATAGGAATGCTTTACCACCTAAGACTCTGGGTAAAGATTTTGGATGCCATTTTGGGAAAGATGCTCCAGCTGAAGGCTAAATTTAGTACAGGACCAATATTGAGCTTCAGTGGCCTTTGTTGCACAGGAAGGCTAAAGCTCTTGGAGCCTTAAAACTATGAATGCGCAAATGTGCTCAGAGATTGTAGCAATTGCTGTATTATTAAAAAAAAAAAAAAGGTAGACAGGTACTTTGGCATTCATTTTAAGATGTTCTTGGAAAATATCTCAAGACCTTTAAGGCAGATCAGGGACAACTGAATGCATCCCAGTGGCCCACCGTTGTCAATAATGTCACCAGCCCATTTTAAGGGCTCCCTGAGGACAGGAGTCTGCCAGCCCGTGCGCTGATTTCCTTCAGGGATCAATCCAAAATATTCACTAATGGCTTGCATCCATGTTCTATGGAGATCATGAAGTCATGCTGTCTGTCCATCTGTTTGACCCTCTCCTGATAACTCTTGAATCCTCTGGCATTTTGAACCAGATTTGACAGCGGCAGTGAAACTCTTGGAGATGATGAAGTCCCTGTGAGTTCCAGGGAAATCTCTGCCGGCACTGAGAAGAGAGGCTTTCCAGACCCGCTGCTGAAGAAAAGGCAGGGCGAGCTCAGCTGTTACCCATTCTCTCTGGCAGCATCCAGATGGCCAATTATCGCACGTCTACTTCTGGACCAGCATCTGTGCTCTCCTGCCCAGCTGGCAGGCCAAGAAGATTACGTAGGAGACGTGGAGAGTGTTGGGGTGTTGGAGGGAATGAGGGACACAGGAGAGAGTTAAGGGCATAGGGAAAACTGGAAATACTGCAGCTGCAATATTAATATTATGTAAGATTGCAGCGGGGAAGTGAGGGGAGGGAAAGGACGATGGGGAGACAGGAGGCACATCTGCAGGACACCCGGCCTGGCTGATGTGATGGCTCACAGAGCAAAGCTGCTCTGGGAGAGTGGACGCCGTGGTGCTACCAGCTCCTCGTCTCCTTCCTTCCAGTCATTCCCTTGCGCCAGCTCCCCTAGGAGAGGCACAGCCACGCTTGGGAAGTACCTGCTGGCAGGGGCCCTGGCCTGGCCCCCCCACCAGAAAGGTCTGCAGGGTGGGAAAGGCTCGGGGTGCTTCCACAGTCCTGTAGCATGGTGAGGAACAGAGTTGGGTACGTGCAGCAAGAAGGTTTTGTTGGGTTGGGGGTTTTTTTGAAAAAAAAAAAGAGAAAAAAGATTGTTACCTTATTTTCAAACAAGCCCATTCATAGTAGCTGGTTCCCAGGCATTAGCAAACACCCTGGTTTTAATCTTCCTCGGAAAATGTCTCCTTTGCTCCCTTATTTTGCATTCCCTTTTGAATATGCTGCTGGGGTATTTTTGGATCTAACTATATCTTTTTAATCTGTTCCCCCCCCGCCCCTTCTCAGCCCCCACTGCCTCCCTGCCTGCTCCTCCTTCAAACTTATATAATGGCACATTATACAAAATAGCTAAGCAGGTGGTATTTTTAAAGACAGTGAGTGAGCATTTTTTTGGCCTAAATTTGGAACGAAACAGATGGATTTTAAGACTCTGCTTTTTCTATGAATAGTAACCGTTGTTCTCCACTGCCTTAAACACCAGTTTCAAGACCACCTCCAGCAACCGATCAGCACTCCGTTATTTAATTATAACAAAATTCTTAGCTCTGTCTGCTGCTGCATGGGCAAGTGGGGGGCACTGGATCAACTTCTGGAGCCAGGCAGACTTGCCAACAATAATTTTCCTTTTCCCAGAGGGCTGAGGGGGCCTGGAGCGGGTTCCAAGTTCCTCCTAAGCTGGCTGTTCAGTTTGGGCTCCCTGACAGAGTGCTTGAAAAGGGTTATAGAAAGGCAGATAAATGCACTTCTTGTTGCAAGCTTCCCTGACAAGCCAGGCCTCCAGAACAGTGATCTCATTCCTGCCTCATTATTAGTGGTGCCAGATTTTTTCCATTAACAGGTAATTGAGTCGAAACTAAAATAAGCAAAGTTTGTTTTATCCAATGCATTTTCTTGCTTGCTTGTGAAAGAAAAACACTTTAGAGAGGAGTTTGCTTTTAATGTTCATGGAAATGTATTTACATCTTAGAGATTCCTCTCTGCTCTGGTGTAATTAACCTGACTGGTCTTTTTGTTATTGTTGTTTTGAGTTTTAAGGCAAAGACATTGCAGAGGCTTAATTCTTTTTTTTTTTTAATGGTTTGGATTCCCTGGGCCCAGCAGGGTTGAAGTCGCCCGTTCGGTGCACCGCCACGCGCGTTATCCTGCTCCCGTACGCGTGTGTGTGCTCACGTTGTGTGATTGACTTCACCCACGGCCCCAGAGGGAAGCAGGAGCCCAACGGGACGGTGCTGGGCACCACTTCCAGGCTCACAGCGAGCTGTGCCTTCCAGAGGGGCGGTGGGGACACCACTGGGACCTGCCGGTGTCTTCTCTCCTGATGGAGCAGGAAAACAAATTGGCTGCCTGTGAAACACTCATGGTCTTGCTGAAGGCCATTCTTTGCTTCTAATCCATGCGGTTATGAGGGCGGAAGGGAGAAAGTGTAAAACCTGGGCTACACGTGCTTCTGCTGAGACAATGTTGCTTGTAGAGGAGGAGAGAAACTTTCTACCTGTCCAGGTGTGTCCGTGCACAGGATTGCCATGACGCCTGCCTCCCAGCCAAGGGAAAAACCTGAGCAATTCCCCTGGCAGCAGCTTCAGGCTTCCCTGTGCAGCCAGGGCCACCTCCTCCCCCTCCTCGGCTGCCCGAGCACCAGCCCTGCCCTGGGTGAAAGGCAGCGGCCTCAAGAACAGCTTGTGAAACACTGCAAGCCCTTCGGGACAAGCATGACCTGCAGAGAAATTATGACCAGTGTGGATGTCCTCCCTTTTTTGAGGGATCTCCCTGATGCCTCCTTATCCTCTGGTGCTGGGCCTTGGGGGACTCTGGGCTGCCCTACGCATCAAGCAGTGAATTCCCTCTGAAATTCACGGGACTGATGCCCAGAAGGTGGGCTGGTTTCTGACCTAGCTTGGGAATATGAGGCAGTTGCCCGTGGAATCAGCTCTGACCTTACCTTTAGGCAAAGCAGGTGCTGCTGTTTGCATCCCCCCGCCCGTGTCCTGAAGTAAGCAAAACCCACAGAGACTTTGCATCATTTCAGCTACTAATGTAATGGCAAACAGTTAATGATGCCAAAGAACAGACAAGTTTCATGTTTGTGGCTTTGCTCTTTTGCTTCTGTTTTGGGCTATTCATGGAGGTAGGTGCCTGCCTACTTTGCCCTTGTGAAAGAGGCCATGTCCATCAGTGACACTAGGACTTGGGCGCTTTGCCCACAAAGTGACATCCTTGTATTGGCCACATTTCTGTGTGACCTCTTCTCCGGCCCTTTGCAAAAGAGCAAAGGGATGGGAGCGTTGCAGAAGGGCTGGTAGCCCTGGGTGGAGGCCAGGGGAGGTTGAGCAAGGAGGGTGCTGAGTGCAGGCTGTGGGACGGGGACGGCAGCGTGCCCCACTGCGGCAGAGAGCCCCTGGCAGGGCCGGGGAAGCCGGTGGCCGCAGAAGTGCTGAGCGCGGCAGCGGTGGCTGGCTGCTGAGCACTGCCGCAGCCTCGCATCCCCTGGGCTCTGAGACACCAATTACCAATTCACAGAGCCTGTTTCAGCACAAACAGGACCTTCAAAGAGTTGGGAGCCTTTCTGGTTTTGTTTTCTTTTTTTTTTTTTTTTTTAATGCCTTCCTAAAAAAACAAAAGCAGAAAGACTCATACTTTAAGGTCAAGTACATAATTGTTTCTAACAGGGATTTCACACATTGTCTCTTCCTCTGGGCAGGTTTGGCTGGGTCAATTACCCTGACTACCTGATGATAGACTGGAGACACGATAACCCCCATCTGCACTTGAACACATCCTCTCTAAAGTAGAATTTAAAGGGCTTTTTGTTTTGTTTTGTTTTGTTTTGTTTAATTGAACAACTTCTGGAGGGTTTCTGGTTGCAAACCGGCTTTCATCTCATGGAGGTCTGATGCTGAGACTTTTCTGGCAGTGAAGCTGTAGGAAAAATCAGAGGGGTGACAAGGGAGCCGTGGTCCTGCGATAGCCCTTGTCTGGGCTGCAGAAGATGTACTGTGGGTGAAGGCATGTACCAGAAAATGCCCGTTAACAGCTGAAGTGAAACAAGCCGCCCAAATTACATTCCTAGCGGTCTGGGATATGCATTAACCAAGTGCCTCAGTTTACCTGGCTCTAAAATGGCTGTAAAAAGATGCAGTCATGAGGTGTGCTGGCTTGCACAGCTCTTATTCTCTGTAATAAGCAAAATCAGGGTTGCCGCAATGGCAGGAGATGGAATTACTTCTCCAGTCATTCATTCCAACTTGTTTGCTTCTCACTGGATTTTCTGAGGTACTCCTTGTTGCACCAAAAATGTGTTTTAGTTCCCAGTTTACTGCATGAATTCTGCTAAAGCAGCCAAGTGGCTTGCTTTTATGAACATCTCCTCTGCATCATGAAGGGTGACAAGAACTTGGGTTACTGAAAAACCATTGAATAAAATGGCTTCATTTAAAATTGTTTCATTTTAAGAGGTGATCTTTTTCTTTCCCCCACTCCCTTTACATTTTTGAGTGAATTTAAATTAACAGATATCGCTCAGGTGAAGTCACCTTCTCTTTAGCTAGAGACCACCTGTAGCATGGACAACAACAGTACAGATCCCTCTGAACTCTGTCCTTTCTTCAGGCTACTCTGACCTGGATGAATGAGCTGAGGGATGTGACAGCCGCTCTGCTTCCTTCCTTCAGATCCTTTCTGTTCCATTCACACTTTGTGCAGGGTTCATCGCTGTTGCATCTCAGCACCTTTCTTCCAAGAGCCACCAGCTTTACCTGTTGTCCTGCATTTCACAGGGATGTTGCAGTAGCATCAGCTTTAGCTCACACGTTCGTAACCTGACCCAAGGGGCCATTTTTGGGTTGAGTTTCACATTTGCGGAATATTTGATATGTTTTTCAACAAAAGCATCTATTAGTAGTGAATGTAATGGTGAGACAAACTGCTTCAAGTCAGCTGAGACCACCAACAACATCAGGCCTAGTAGAGGAGACCTAGTAATGTGGACATGAGGACTGGTTGTACAATATCAATGACTTCAATATCCTTGTATGTTCGGTCAAGACCTTTTACTTGGTTATTAGCATCTTTGAACTTTGTACTGACTTGCATCTCTTGCCTTTTCTGGTATGAAGTGCCCAAGAAACGCCCAAGATTCCCAATGGCAACTCATGGCCTTGGGTGTCCCATTTGATGAGGGAAGCTGGTTCACAGCAAGAACTAGATTCCTTTCATTCCAGGGGGAGAGGAATCTGTGTAAAATGTCCCAACTTCAACTCTAAAACTGAAGCCAAAACAACCAGTAGCTACTACTGAGAAATCTACACTGATCTTATTTTAAATTAATCCATTCTTATTTTAAATTAATCTATGAGATACATTTAGTACACATTTGGTACTGCATAAACTAACAATATTTTTCATGTTAGAGAAGGCAAAAAGGAGTATAAATAATTCTATATGTTAGTTCCATTTAAATTTCCTCAAGTTTCACTGTTTCAGATAAGTCTTTTGGATTTGCTCCAACCTAAAAATCTTATTTACCCAAAGTGAAATATTTTTGGGGGATTCTTTTTTCCTGAGCATACCTGTCTTTTTTAGTGGTGATGTTGTTCTGGCTAGTTTTCTTTACCCTAACAGAGGTGACTCCGCAGCACATTTCTTTTGACAAAAACACACA